TCTCTCTCTCTCTCTCTCTCTCTCTCTTTTTTGGTGTTGAGGGTTGAACCCAGGGCCTCATGGCTGCTAAACATGTGATCTACCTTGAGCTATATCCTCACCCCCTGTTTTGGGATATTGCTTGAGAAACTCTCCCTCCTGTTTCAGCCTATTCTTTATTCTTGTAAGTGAATGTCCAGTTTTCTTTTACATTGATATATGGTGACTTTCCTAGTCATTTTCCTATTCATAGTATTATATAGATGGTCCTATAATTTACAACTTTTGCTCATATTTTTTTTTTCTCCCATGTAATTTTCCCTTTTTGGTGAACTTCTGGGGTCAGGATTAGTAGGTCAAAGGATTCGAACCTTTTGAGGCTCTTAGTGTAGCTAACTGGCTCTTCCCATCATATTCTGGCTAGCACACTCCCCACATCTCATCACTACTGGGGATGTGATTATTGTCTTTAAAGGCTTGCTCGTTAGTCAGTATAAAATAACACCTTACATTGTTTGAATTTGCCATCTTTCTCCCTCCTACTGAAGATGCCTATTTAGCCATATGGCTGTTCTCTGTGTGAATTGGTCATTTATCTCCTTTTCAGAAGTTTTGCAATGCAGAGGTGAGTCATTTAGTGTTAGTTTTGCATTGGAGAACCGTTCACATGCAGGGAGTTAAAAAGAACAGGCACTCCTTCCCTGCCCTGTAGTAAGTAGCAGGCTCTGGTTCTGGCCACAGCTTTCTGAAGAAGCAGAAAGTAGCATCAGCTTTTGCCATGTGCCAGCTCTGCAGGGGTCACAGCGGCCAGAGTCGACTCTGCAGCTGCCTTTTTTGGTAAACAGAAAAACAGTGTGCCTGTTCCTGAGCTTGGCTCTAGCATGTGCTCACTTCATTCATAGGGTCTCTCCTCCTCCTTACATCCCATGGGCACCTAATGCAGGGTCAGCCCATATTGGATAATTTTTCTCCCATCAAATATCAGAGGGTAGAATGAAACTTCCCTGAGGTCTGTCTTCCCCTTCTGAGTCTGTACATCATTCCTGTTAAGATCTTGTAGTCATTCTTTGATTACTTCTAGTGGTGGGAGGTTCACTATGTCACAAAACCGACCCTTGGGCTCAAGGTGATGTGGACCTGGGTTTGAATTGCAGTTTGAGCACCAACTAGTAGTATGATTTTAGACAAATAATGTTTTAAAACTTTATTTTTCTGATAAGGGAGATAGTATTACACCTCTACCTCATATTGTTGTGATGAGGATTGAATAAAACAATGAAAGCAAAGTTCTAGAATATTAAAGAGTCAAACTCATAAAGTGGGGAGTAGGATGGTGGTAGGGGGGACAGGCATGTGGGGGAAGGGTACAAAGTTTCAGGTAGGAGGAATAAATTCTGGGGATACCTTACATGATTTGGTGACTACAGTTATTAATAATGTTTATTTCAACATAATTAAAAGAGGATTTAAATTCTTCTCACCACAAAGAAATGATTTAATATTTGAGGCGATGCACATGTTAATTAGCTTGATTTGTTCATTCCACAATACACGCATATGTTGGAACTCAGATTGTACCACACATACACAGTTATTAAAAAATAAAACTTAAAAAAAAAAGTGAAGCCCAAGGCCCCATGCCTCACATACAGTGTTGAATCAGTGTTAGCTGTGAGTATTAATTTCATGGACGGCTGCAAGGTATTTTTCTTAMACTTTGGCCGCTATGTTTGTTTTCATGAGCCCAACGGGTCTTTCGATCTATCAATTAGGATCTTGCTCATTTGGCACAGAAGTTGTAGTTCAGCCTCTAGCTCCCTTAGTGGCTTGGGTCTCTTCCCTAGCAGAGATGTGGGTGGGTATTACCTTTGTACTTGTTCCAGCTTGGGCCACGACCCAGCTGCTGGGCTGGGCAGGGCTCTAATGTGTCCAGGCTAGCACCTTCTCCACTTTCAAAGACTGATTGTACAGGCCCCATGTTTGTCTCCTTCCCCTGTCTTGGCTGTTTTTATTTTATTTTTTTCCTGCCTTGGCTTCCCTAGTACAGGATGGACAAAACATTTACAGGAAATGAGACGGTATCTACTTACTAGTTATCTGTGCCTTTCCACCGAAAATAATTTTGTTTAGCAAAAAACAAATGGAAGAGATTGTACTTCTGGGTGTGTAGCAATACACCCAGCCCGCTGACCGCACTCAGTCAGTACCACTTCCACTGGCTTTGCAGATAAGCCAGGAGGAGAGGCTGGTCCAGGGACCAGGGAGGCTCCAGCTCTGACACTTCAGTATTCATCCCTAGATTTTTTTTTTTTTTTTTAGCATTTCATTATTTTTGCTTTAGCTTGCTGAGAATAGAGTTGCTGATCTGAGAGTGCCTCAAAGCCTCCTGTGATTTAAGCAGATAGCTTTTATCCTTGGGGTACCAGCACCACTGATATTAGTTCTATGTTCATGATTCTTACTATAAAGTTCATATTTGTGTCTAATCCAGCTTACCGTGCTTTGTAGAGAATAACTTAGGTGAAATGGCCCCCGCTAGGCGCCTTTGTAACTGCTTCCTAATAACTGTCAATTTTGGTTTTAAAAATAAAATATTAGGAGCCAGGCACAGAGGCACAAGCCTGTAATCTCAGCTGTTCAGAAGGCAGAGGCAAGAGGATTACAARTTCAAGGCCAATCTTAGCAACTATGTGAGATCCTGTCTCAAAATATAAAAAGGGTTGGAGATGGAGCTCAGTGGAAGAGCACCCCTGGGTTCAATCCCCAATATTGCCCCCTCTCCCAAATAAGGAATTCACTGAGTTGAAGAAACCATGTTGAAATGAGGGTAAATAAGATTTTAAACGGCGGTCTTTGAGGGATTGGTTCATTTGGAGATGAACACGTTTATAAACTTGGATCCAAAAAACTGCGTGAACACAGGTGATATTTTAAATATTTAACAACCAATCTGGAAGGGCAATGAGACAACAGAAATCTCTGGAAGCTCCAGGTTTGCCGAGCGTTCACCCTTTACCTGTTGAACCATAAGACGACCGCAGAGTACTGGGAGAAAGGTGGTGCATTCGGGGGGCTTGGGACATTGACTAGACTCTTCCAGCTCTTGAAATTGTTTCAATATTTTAAACAACCACTTTGGGTCTATTGGTGGGGTCCTGTGGGGGTGGATGGGGAGAGCAYTGAATTGCCTTTGGCAGGTGGCCAGAGGTGCTGATGGATCCGATGTTTGCCTTCTCTTCAACTCACTGCTGAGGGGACTTTTGTTGTGCTGGACCTGATTATCTTCCAACAGGTGCTTGGAAAGTGTCACCTTGTAATTTAGGGCTGTCTGTTTGGAAGCACTAGACATGCCTCCTTGTTCAGAAAGCACTTCATATGTACACTGTGTGAGAGGCACACTGTCCCTGTCTTCTTGGGGTCCCCATTCTGCACTACTGGCTTTTAAATTGTTCTTGTATTTGGACTTTAGGGACCTGTCCTTAGGATGTTCGACACAACAGGGAGAAGTTGTGCCAAATCCAAATGTCCAGCTATGGAGAAATGGAGAAATAAATAATATTCTGGTGTCTCCGACCCAGAATAATATAATCTCTTAAAATTATCAATACAATGAATTTCTTGGGACTAAGGAAAATGCTGAATGTGAAATCCCCCAAAATTATAATGAAGAAAAACAGCAAGAAAACACATCAAAATGCATGGTTAGCACGGATTATTATTTGGTGGTAGAATGTGGGTATCTTTTGTCGTCGTCTTTGTATGTTTCTCTGTTTCCACGTGTTTTTGTCATCTGTGGGCATTAACCTTATGAGAGGTGCCCCAGAAATAGTCCATCTTAAAAATCCAATTAAAGGTTTTGAAAATGATTGTACAGTTCGTGGACGAATCTGTTGAGTTTAAACCTGGAGAAGCACAACTTGCAGGTTGTGTTTTTTGCCTATAAAGGAAGGTGCTGACTAGGTGGGATAAAAATAAGAGCCTAGGTCAGCCCCTTGCTGCTGCTGCTGCTGCTGCTGCTGCTGCCACCGTGGTCCAGCTCCCCCAGGCTCCCAGACGGCCGGGCTTCCAAGAGGCCCTAATGGGCTTGTTGAAAGGCTCCACTTGGCTTCTTATTAATGTCCCTCTCTGAGCGGGCGCTCTGCTCTGCTGGCTAACCTTGTCAGAAGGTTATCCCGGCTCTCCAGGGCTCGGCTAATTTTAAACCTGGTCATCCAGTGTGGTGGCATCACACTGCAGAGACACGCACAGCTCCCTGGGAGACACGGCTGGGAAAGGATGAGTTGAGTCCACCGTGTTTTCCTCCTCCTCCTCCTCGTGTAAGTGACCAGGCCCGCTGAACAAGCAAAGAGAGCTGGGATAATAATGAGAGTGTTTATGGTAAAAACCAGGATTATTAGAGATCTTTTAGCAATGTCAATACTGGTTGGTAATTGCTTGGTGTGATGTGCCCGCATGCAGTGTGTTAATTCCGACCACACAGGGAGCAACAAGGTGAATGAGATGCTGTCTTCCGGGGAGTTAGACTTTGGCTGTTTTTAAAGACAGGATGAAAGCAGTGAATTTCACTATTTATATAGTATTCTTTTAAATTTATAGGACTCCCAAACTCTACTGGTGATAGTCCTTTGTGGAAGCTTTTGATTAATTTGACTGGGAGAAGGCTCTTAAAAGTTACAATAAATAAATAAATAAATAAAAAGGAAAAAAAGACAACTACACGGTTTCTGCCTTTCTGTGTGTCTGCTGCTGGTCTCTCTGCCACTAAAATTGTCATTGAAAGCCTTTTGAGCACTTGCAATAGGCAGATTCTTGTTCAGAATACTGCTGCATCTTAGAACGCTTGTCATCCTGATATTTTAAAATGAAACATGAATCAGTAACTATAAAATAACATGGCATTGGGGAACCTTTCCCTAATCAAATTAACTTAACATAAAAAAAACCCTGAATTTATTTATTTTTTTCCTTCTCCCCCAATTACCTACCTACCTTTCAGCATCTTTGGGCTGGGAATCARATGTGCCATGAGAGGTGTTCCAGAAACATTAGATAGGTCTTCCTTGGCCAAACCATTCACAGCTTCTCTCACACCCACAGGTTGTAGTGGGAAACTTTCCTGGTCTTGGGATTTACCTTCCTGGCCTGAAGGAGGGCATCTTTTCTTGTAGCTGGGTCTGTACCCACCCACTTATAAAACAGTTGGTAGGAGCAAATTAAAGAGGCCCTGTTCATGGAGTAAACCAAGATGAAAGAACAGTGGATGGAGAATCAATAACATACTAACCCCCTACAGTGATTGAAGTGAACTTTATTTGAAATATCTAGGCTGCTCCCGACCACATCAAGTCAGCAGCGTTCCTGCACGAGGGTAGCCCAGGAGTGGACTTTGATTTCATTTTAGGGGGGAAAAAAAGAACAATGAATACATGTTTTTTATTAGCCTTTTCTTTCTTGAAGGTCTGCTTCTCCTGGAGTAGACCTAATTAGCTCTGTCATGTTTGGCTTTAGTTTGGAGAAAATTAAAGATGAGTAATATCAGGAATTTGTAGAGTGGGGATACTTGTTAAAATTTTCTTTGACCCAAATCTGACTTTTATACATAGTATTATGCAAGCAGGCTAAAGAATACCCCATTTCCAGCTTGCCCTAAGACAATGTTTTTAAAAGCACGTCCAAAGTGGTTAAGTATAATGTAAATACATTACTCTGATTGTCTGCCAAGTGAATGAGTTATTGCAGGGACTATCTCGGTGATGCTAAGAACATGGTGATGAATTTAAACTACATTTCTTAAAACTCAGCTCATGCCAGGCTTGGTATTGCACACCTGTAATCCCAGCTACCCTGGAGGCTGAGGAGGGAGTATCCCAAGTTCAAGGCCAACTTCAACACTTTAGTGAGGCCCTATCTTAAAATACAAAATAAGTTCAAAGGGCTGGGAATGTAGCTCAATGGTAAAGCATCCTTGGGGACAATCCCCAGTAAGGGGGAGAGGTGAGGGAAGAAATCCAGGCTATCTTTGACTGCAGTACGAATGTCTTCCGTTTTTCTTCCCAGGGCTTGTCTTTCTCACCTCCTGGACACTACCCTTCTGCTCTTGGCTGGATACAGGCAGGCCCGCTGTTATTTTTGTGGTAACTTGATACTTGAGCTGAGCACAGCCCCCAGGTTCCTGGGGCTGAACTAGCCCATAGCTGAGCCACAGTTCCCCAGGCTGAGCAGCTGCTGAGGCAGGGCTGGGGACCTGGACAGGCTGAAGTGGTGTTGGGGGTCGGGGTGACTGGTGAAGGCCTCAGATTGTGGCTTAGCAGGTGGCAGGACCTTTCCTGGTTGGGGGCCAGCCTGAGATTCAAGAAAAACACAGTTGGTTATTAAGGCTAGAGGCCAGCTAGTTAGGGGTTTTTTTGGAAACAGAAGGAATATTTTGAAGCCAGTGAATTTTTTATTTTGCTCTGTGGGTTTAGTTTAGGGTATGCCTGAGGCAACACTTGTACTTGCTTAAATAAGGGTTTCTTAAGAGTCACCAGCATTGTATTTCTTTTTATGTTCAAATAAATTGAATGTGCTAGGGTTGGTGTGCAAAAATGGATAGCAGGATAGCACAAGAGTTCCCACCTTCTGAAAATCAGTGGTATAATAGGGAAGGAGACATATTTAAGCAGTAATTATTAATTATAATTATATGTGCATTTGTTCAATAATTACTTGAGAGCCTGCAGTGTGTCAGGCACGGTTTTAAGATATGTGCCTGCCCACACATTAATCTGTAAACATTCAGCTAAGATAATGTTTATAGTGACTGTCATGGAAACATCCTGTTAATACTTCACCTTGGTCATCTCCTTTGATCTGTATAGCAGGTAGACAAAGTTATTCATTCCAATTTTGAAAACTTAAGAGAATTAAAATCCAAACTCTTTGGAATTAAAAAGCCTTATATATTCCTGATGGGCTTACTGTGCCATATGGGTTTATTAGATGCACCATAGGGATGCTGACCCAGGACAGCATTTAGCAAATATTTTGAGAGTTGAAGCAATCCATCAGGTACTGGGAAATATTATGGGAAGAAATGCCCAGAGCTTACTGATGACCAGGGAGACGATATCTTAAGAGAAGTTAGAATGAAATGTACCAGCTATGGTGTTGGAAGTGTGCTTGAGGTGCGTTGGGAACACAGAAGTGATCTCTCTGAGAGAAGCCAGCTAAGGTTTCTCACATGATGAGTTGGTGGCTTTAGTCTTGAAAAAGATCAATAGACATTCAGTAGACAGGCTGCCAGAGGGAGGAGAAGCATTTGAGCAGAGGACGCTGGACACCTGAGGGGTGAAGAGGCAGCCTGAGTGTCCAGGCACCCTGGAACTGTGTGTGTGTGGCTGGAATGTAGGGCTCCTGGACAGATGGCTGAGGAGCAGGCTGAGATAAGGACCATGGGTGCCATATTGTGCAGTGGAGTAGAAAAGGCATAGGGATCTGTTGAAAGATTTTTAAATGAGTGTATGATCAAAGTCTTTTTCGCATTTTAGGAAAACCTGTGTGGTTGCAGGATAGGATAGGAGAGAAGCTTGCAAAAATATATCTCCTGGGAATTCCAATTCAGTACTGATGGCACCACAGAATCTATATTTTCAGGAAACTACCTATATCACCTTCACGTGCAACCAGCCTTAGGAGCCTGGCAGAACCAGTTGCTGGCAGTGGGAATGGTGGAAGGAGGCAGAGCCTGGTTAGGGAGAGAAGGTGAGGTCCTCTCCTGAGACAGGAGCAAGGGTAGAGGGGTAGAGGGGTGGAGAGGAACAGAGGGGATATAGCTGGGAAATGGAGAAGGGGAAGCAGAAGCCTGGGCTGCAGACCCTCCCTGGGTGCCATTTCACCCAGGTTCTTGGAGAAGCAGCATCTCTGAGAGGGTCTATGGGATTGGGTTCCCTCTCCTTGGACCCAGGAAATCTTTTTTTTAAAATTTTTCATGGATACTTTTACAGATAGACTCTTACAGAAGTGACTTTGGAAGTATCAGTGCCCTGGGTGCCAGATCAGTGTTTAGGTGATGGTTTCCTTTTGATCTCTGAAGTCCCATCATATGTGTGGAGTCACTATTAGGCAGTTGGCCCTATAGGGAGTCAGCTCTGGCAAATGTCCTTGGGAGGGAGGACTTTAGTGGCCTTTTGTAGGTATAATTGGAAATGGATTACATTTTAATTCARTGGAAGGCATTGGAGGTTTATCTTCCTAGTTCCTTTACCAGAATTAGCAGAATCTACAGGAGGAAATGGTCCTGGAAAGAAATATAAGCTCCCCACCCCTTCCCCAAAGACTCCTGTGTGTGTTCCGGGGTGGGGGTGGGGGGCTGCAAAAAATGTGGATTGAATCAAGATGTGGCCTTTGCATTTTTCCCTTGGTATAACTGCCTCATTTGTTTCAGGGGGAGGTGGTATCAAAGGTGAGGAGCAAGGAGTCTGATGGATGGACATTGTCCCCTAAAGCACCTGGGGCCCCTGGGAGGTGAAGGCAGGAGCAGTTGGGTACCTTGATGAGTTAGTCCCTCAGTCTTTCTTGGGCTGGGCTCTTGCCCCACTGCATGCCCTTAGAGTYGGTGCCTATGGTCTGCAAAATGGATTTGATTTAGAAGTTTGGGTTCCAGAGATGGTCTGTACACATGCTGGTTGCTCATGGAAATTGGTTCACTTGAGTGAATGGCTAATTGCTGATGTGGGAACAGCAGTTATTCAGGTATGCTGCTTCATCCAATCTCCAACCAAACCAAGGTTGTTTTTTCCTGCTGAATTTGAACTCTGGTATAAACCAAGGACTAGGTTTACATTTAGAGGACAGGGATTGGCTTGAGAGTAGAGCTTTAATTGGCCCCAAATTTGCATCCCTCTCAATGTGAGACCTGTTTTACAGCTGTTCCATCACTGTGTCATTAGTAAATTGAGGATTGTATTTCTCATTTGAAGGGTGGGGACTTGGTTGTATCAGTGGTCATTGGGAACCCATGGGCATTTGTAAATAAGCAATKCTGTATCTTTTTGGTTAGTTTTCACATCAGCTTTTGTTGGCATTAGAGGCCTTTGCTGGCTGTGTGTGTGCCTGTGAGTATCTGTAGGCACAGCAGCTGGGTTGAACATGACCATGCTGTCAGCTCATAGCCTCTTTTCAGGGGCCAAGGAAATACGTTGAATGTTTGAAGACAAAGTGCAATGAGCATTTATCAGAAGAGCTGAGTGACTGGGTATTGAGCACAGTTAATCCCATGACTCTGAGCTGTTTAAGCAAGCACACCTGTATAAACTGTCACTGTCTCATGAATTGTCAC